TTGCTACTGATACCGCCAGAGTCCCCACGTGATGTGTCCCTAAACCTGGCACTCATGAACTGTCGCATGCCCAGACCTCGTCAATGGTTCCTCTGGGATCAAGATGTTCAAGCTCTTCGCGTATCGACGGGCCCATCTGCGTATTCGTTCCTGGCTACTACTATGGACAATCGCTCCTACGTATTGAAAAGCGCCAATGAGTGCGGGCTTGGAGCATAACTTATTAGGACAAAAGTTCCTTTCTCTATTTGTTCGGGCAGGTTCGTTCGGCAACTCAACTGTCGGATCGGTTGAGGCCCCGAGGTTCCCCGATCCAACAGTCGATGTGTTTTCGAGCCGACTCTTCGGTATACACCCATTCATTCTGCCAGCCGTGGAAGCCAGTGTGACCCACCCCTCCTGTCCTCAAGGACCCCCCGAGGCTTGGTCAGTTAGCTTTTGGATATTGATGTCCCCGCGCCTCTCTCACGTACTTCCGAACTCTATCATCACCTCACTGCCGGCAAGAGAGCTCTTCCTCGTGCGGTTTGGTTTTCCTTGCGCCATTTTCTCATCGGGACCTGCGGCATTTCCTCATTCAGCCAGTGCTCGTTCAATGCCACGCCTGAGGCTGTCTGGCGGGTGTTTGTCAAGGTTATGTTGGGCTCTAGTTGGCAGTACACAACTCTTCTTATCCCGGAAATCATCAACGCGCATCAGACTTGGATTTGATGCATTCTCCATCCAGATAGTAGTCCTACCTTCACCGTAAACCCAGTAATCTCACGCGGTTTCGGTCTGTCAGCGCAGCCGTGAACTCCCGGGTTAGGGTTAGGGGTGCTGGAGACCCCCTGGTCTGGCGGTTTTGTCGACTTCAACCGGAAGAGCCTATAAAAGCTCTCCCCTTTCTTTCTTTCCTTCCCCTCCCTGAACCTTGGATTGGCCTATGGTTGCTTCGTTTTGCCTCCGCTTTTGTTCTCGTGAGCTACTCTGGAGTCTGTGCAAGGCTGGCCAGGGTCATATACCGTGGGCCATCAAGATGAGGCAGTACTTTCTGCCTTTTGTCTTCCGTCATCGTCGTTCGGCGGGTATTCTCATCTGTTTCCGAGTGTTTTTAATATTGCGCTGCCATCTTTGCCTCGCATGAAGCATCGGAGCTTATCCTCCATCCAGCCTGACACTTGTGTAAAACTTGGTCGGTAAGTGAAGACCAGACTGCCACGACCGAGAACAAGACAAAGAGAACGTGACGCGACCCATATCAGCGGACTGGACTTCTGAGGTATAATATATAAATGGGTATGGCCCTCCAACGTGCCGATGTCGGACTACTGCCAGGATCGTATAAGACGCTGTATCGAGGTCGACGGGACGTGTTTTGCTACCAAGGAAAGCAGAGAAATCCGATTATCAGGAATTGGTTCTGGTAGCCATGTCCTCGGGCTGAAGGTAACCCTCGAAGAGTCAAGACAGCGGACGATGTTTAACTCGAGCGTTCTTCAACTCGTTGTCGTCCGGGATCGCTGGGTTCTGTTGAAGTATTCCATTTGTTATCGGTGTGGTGTTGCTCGCCGTCGATTGCCCCATGGCCGGAAGCAGAGAGACGCCATCAAGGTCATGGCCTCAACTTCAATTGGATCGCACCGTCATATTCGCCATCAGAGCATGCCCCCTTTCCGACTATGTCTGTTGGAACGAACAACAACGACTGTAGTGGCCCCCCGTATTTAGCCAATTCTCCAGCGAGAGAGCCAGTTCTCATTCATGCCTGGACAATCTTCTACGGGCCCGCTGGGCATGCTAAGAGATCCTGGCGAGCTCACTCACTGTCTGTAATAATTCGCCGATACTTCATCCGAGTATGAGGACTGCTTCCGACGTCCTCGGTCGTCGACCCTGTCTGAACAATAGCCGTGCTTGGTTAGAATAATCTCGATGAAGTTGAATTACGATTCGAGCTGAATCTAGGGCAGCGTTCCATTTCGTTTGGGATGTACGTATAAAAGTCTAAATGGTTCTGGTACTGTAGACGTCGACAACAAACGAAAATCACGCGGAGCCTCCAGTCTCTGTCTTGTCCAAGAGGTAGCACTCATTCTTGTTCAGTGGCTTTCCGGAGTTATATGGGACGACGGACGCGCCATCCTGAAACGGCAAACACTGTTCTTCGTCTCCGGTCATCTCTGTTGTCGAGGTATTCCGCCTCGAATAGCGCTTCGAGCTTGATGCAGACAAGACAAGGCAGCCGTTTTCTAACCAGGATCAAGAACTTCCATGCGAGCGGTCCCATACACCCAGAACACGATCAGGCCGGGAAAATCATCATGTATGAGATCAGAGACTGAAGACGCTTGAGACTCAGGTAGACGGAAGGGGAAGTAGGAGACAAATATAAATAACGCGCGGCATTGGATTCTCTTCAGTGTTGGGTCCAGGGATCGGTATCCTCGGCTACTTGTCGGGTCGGAATGAATCTCAGAAAAGGCTTCCTTCCGCTGGGATTAGTGTATAAAATGCCATTCAAGATTCAAACCGAGTTCTTGCCCCTCAACCATGGAAAGGGGTGATCTTCTGAATCATAAAGTCACAAGGCGTGGATCTTTCTTGCAGTGCCTTTGATACTGGCTCGTTCGGTTCGTTGATCTTTCCACTCGACAGCACCAACATAGCAACGGTGGCTTCTTGGGAACAAATGCAGCCTGGAATCCAGCTGCCGTCTCTCTTCTTCTTCTCTGATTTGAAAGTATTCGGGATTTAATAGCTTCCAGGGCATGACGGAGATGAAATGGTTATGGGTTCCGGGCTCCCGTCTTTGAACAAGATCAGGCATGCCCGTAAGACGGCTTATCTGGCTGCTAACCAAGGAACAAGCAAGTCAAATGTCCGGATTCTTCAACTTCGATGATCGACTTACGGCCCAGTTGAAATTAGTACAAAATGGATACTTATAGCCAGTGTGATGCTGAGTCTTTATGATTCGTCATCTTGAGAATTTCCCAAGGACATGGACGTTCTATCTCACATCAACACAAGCCACTTCATCCACACTCCTGTCTGTGCTGGAGTTCTCGACCTCGACAGGCGGAGTGCGACGGCACCGGTTATTGCAGCTGCTTATTCAGGTAGTTTCATCCTCTTTTCAGGGACGTACTTGCGAAACATGATCGGTGAGCTGTTTTATGAATAGTCTCGAGACAAGCCCTGCGTAGCACGGTATTCTTCAGAGCTGAGAAGGTCAACGCCGAGGCTTCCGATGCAAGACGCGTTCTTCAGACCAGTCGGCGTATCACTGTTCTTCATCATTCCGTGCGTATTCTTCCTATCGTTGAACCAGGGATGCTTCTCAGGGAGTCCGGTGTTAACAGGCAAGTCCAGTTTAACAGTCACAGCAAGCTCCATCACGTTTATACCCTTGCACCGGAATTCAAAGCTGCCAAAATACCTCTTTCCAACACATCTTGGCTGTGAAGATCGTGTGTCCGGCGAGATGTTTCCATCTTGACGAGACGAAGAGGAGGACGGGGTCTGCGGCCCCTCATCGCGGACTAACGGAATCCGCAGCATGTTGCCATCGCGTGATCATCGTCTCTTTCGAGGTGAAAGATTAGAAACGGTGTATATCTTCCAGGTATATATTTGAGAGATCTACCCGAGAGTAGTACACTCTTCAGACATGGGGGTCTCGAATCGTACGTCGTTGCACCACACGGAACAGCCCACGAGTGCCTCTTTAGTTCTCATCATGGCTGTACGAACGGTTCCGTCACCGCGTGAGATTCGGCGAAGACTTCTATTCCTTAGAAAGCGCCTCTCCGGCCGAGTTAGCCGCGTGCCCAGCACCGTCGTTTCTCGCTCCTGGCACGGGAGTATTCCAAGGCGAATACGCCAGCCATGCAGAATGCCTTGCTTCATCGCCAAATCCCGTCGAAGTATGAATGCTGACGCATCAGACTACTACAACGTCATCGACGGGTACTGGAGTCAGAGTGCATTCAATGTATCCTCCCAAGTGAGCTCTGTCTGGAAGCAGTACTCGCTGCTGCCGACTGACTGGTCGTTTTATATCGCGTCTACCATCACCTCAAGCTCCATTCGCGTTCGCGGTATCTGCAACAGACAATGATATCCTGACACACACATCAATGTCCCAGAGACGAAACTTGGTGGAGTTTGTCAGAGCACGTAGAAGCATTTTGAGCAGGGTACTTGTAGACGACTTCGACGGAAGCCAAAGCAGTTGAACTTGAAATAGTGAGTGGTTTATAAGTCAAGTATGTTTGCAGATCATCTCAGTCGACAGTGGGTCGCAATGCAGTTTTGAGCTTGACGATGGCGCGGGGGTGCCGGGAGCAGAGGTCTGACGGACTGATCAACACCAAGCCATGTCAGATCCCCCCCTCAAGACCTCGATTCTGCCGAGGATACCGTATTCGACGAGAATAATTGAGAAACAAAGACAGACAAAGCCGGCGAGATGGGGTTACAAAGGGGCAGAGCGTGACGAGACTGCTCAACTCGGTGACAAGACAGAAAAATATTGAGAGTCTCCCTCCCTGGTCTTGCGAAGTCAATCTCCGGAAAAGCATGGCACGCGAGGATTCCTGGCTTCGATGACAAGTGAAGGGGATTGTTACTATTTATAAGAGCACAATCCTGCCGGAGAAGACTCCGTCGAGAGTAAAAACGACGTGATGATCGTTCTCACTTCATCAGTGCCACGGTAATGTCCTGGATGGGTGGCAGGTGCGGAAGGCTGACACCACCAAATGAACTCACTTGCGTACCTATCTCATCACTCTGTCATATCGCAACGCTGCGCAACAGAGACGACGGATGCTGATAGGAAGTCTCGATTCACGAACTTCCGGCCTCGAGTTCCACGTAAGACGTCCTCATCCCCAACACGCCAGTCGCAAGTCCACAACCTTCAGCATTCATGCGTTCGTAGTTCATCATCATAACAAAGCCAACCAACCACACAATCAAAAACTCCAACTCTCCCCACAGGCGTCCCAGACCTCTTAACGCTGTCCGCCCCTCGCCTGCGCCGCCGCATCCCGATTGATAGCCTCCTCGCCAAGCACCTTGCTAGCAGCCATGAACCTGTACGACTCATCAACATCCTCACTCCAGAGATCCAAGGGAAGAAATCAAGGACAAGAACTCACATTCCGCCGTGCCACGCACCAAGCCCCCGCATGCTCTCGGCCTGAACGCTCGTCATACGAACCAGGTTCTCGGTGTCTGCGAGGTTGGCGGATAGCTGGGCCAGCTGGGAATGAAGATGCGTCTGTGTCCGGTCGAACGGAAGTCAGCAAAGAGGAAGCAAATGTATAAAACATCTCACATGACCTCGACCGCATCTCAGCCCGCGGAACTGCCAGCCATTCGAGCTCCTGAGGGGGCTTGACGCTCATCCGCACCAAGGACCTCGACTTCCGAACCCTCGCAATCCAAGAGACTTCGAATCCCAAATAAAGCCGCCAGAATAAACAGTAAAAAGAGAGAAAACTCACAAGTTGCCTCGTCTTCATCGCGTTCCCCGAGCCCGACGACATGGACGGCCGAGCCGTGTGCGTCATGTTGATGTTCCTCGTCGCCATCCTGAGAATATTCTTGCCCTCAGTCACCGCTTGAATTCGTGATGAAATCCTCGTCTTCGTCCAGGAAGCAAGGAGGTAGGTCGTCTGCGTCTAGTCAGTCAACCCACCTAATCCAGCAAAGGCACAACATTCTCGCAAAGAACCAGCCCCTGTCGTGAAGAAAGCTGAAGTCTTGCGAGAGATGAAACATAAAAAATGACCGAAATTTGCATCAAAAGAAAGAGCAAAGAAATAGAAAGAAACAGAGCTCAGTACGCAGCCGCACGACATGAAGTCAAACCCAAACAAAACAAAACAAAACAACAAAGTGGGGGCGGGATGAGGCATCAGTCAACATCACCAAACACAGCACAACTCACCTGAAATCTCAGCCGTCAAGTCTTGTATGAAGAAATATCGTACGTCGGCCTCAATCGATAAAAAGCCCCGTCGCGTGGGTATTTCCAATAGCCTTCCTGTCTTCGTAATGCCTTATGTCGCGATTGCGTCTAGCAGCAATGAATGACTGTCGTCAAAAGAGAAAGAAAAAGCGGGTACCGTAAACAACTTCCACCATTTCCCATTTCCCATCCACCTATCCCCTGGCACCTGCCGCCCCGGTTATCCGAACCACCCGCGCAAACGAGCCACGAACCCCACCCCCCCTGCGGCCTGCCTGGCCTGGCTGGCCCGCCGCCCAGCCCAGGTGCCCTGCCTGCCAAACCTGTCACCAGCTGGCCCAACGCCCTCCAAGGCAGACAGACGCAAGGTCCGTGCACACTCCGCCCGACACATCTCCTGCCAAGATTAGCAACAAACGAGAAGCAGCTACGTACCTTATCACCTTACCTTCCTTTCCCTCGCCTTTCCTTTCCCATCCCTCCAAGCACATGCCTGCCAAACACACACACACACACACATGCACACCGGCACTCGGCAAGACTCACTCCCTCCCAGGCAAGAACCCTTCCCTCTCGACCCTCCCAAAAGTCGCCTCGCATAAATCAGCATGATCTGATCTGATGAACACACACACGTTTTTTGCGACGCGCCGTTATGGAAGTTTGAACGCGTTATGCTCGCACAGACGGGAGACGGGGGGACCTACCCTACTTACATCAGATGGCAGGTGCGAACTGTGACGCAATAGCAACAACAACAACAGTTGCTCTTCTTGCTCAAGTTGAGATCAGGAGAGAGACCTGGACTGTCTCTCTGTCTAATTTAATACCCAACGTCGTGGGAACCGGGAACCGCGGCGCCAACAGATTCGAAATTGTAATTACCTAGCATTGCGGCCCAACAAGCGCATGTCTCGCGAAACTGCAGATCTGCGTCATAGTAAGCCCGCCGCGAAAGCCACAACCGTCCGAGCCGCAAAAGGGGTAAGAATTCAGTTCACCACACGATTTCTTCACTTCTGATGGACGCGAGAGATTGATTGACTGAACTTGAGAGATGACTTCCATTGCGCTCAAAATGAACGCCCCTGAAGGAGCTGCCTACATGCCGTGCCCCTCAAAACTTTTCTACCCTGTCCACCTCGGCGCCTCTCTCGTCGTCGCCGAGCTCTTCGTCATTGGGGAACTAAAAATTACGGAACAAAAGCCAAAATATCCCCTTCGCAGAGAGGCTTCGGCCTGAGCATGCCACCCTTCTTCCTCGACCATGCAATAATCTTCCCATCTTTGTATTGCCGGATCAAAACCGCTCCCGGCCCTTGTCTATGCTCGTTACTTGTGATCCCCCAAAAACAGCCTCTCCCATGCTTTGGTCATGGGGGGACCTCTCAAAAAGAAAATTCGTCGTGAAGGACAGACACAAAAGAAAAATAGCCTGGATAGGCGTTCCGGTTTTATACACATCCAACTTCCCATATCGCCCACAATGGCCCAAGGAACGTCAGACACCATCTCCACCGCCGGATCTTGGTATGAATCCCTGATCAGTCATGTTCGTGAACTTCGCCAATCCGGGCCCATCCAGACGCCCGCCGTTTTGACGTAACCATCTGTTGTCCAACTCCAACGGTGGTCCCCCGAGGCCGAGCGAAATAAGTAAAGTCGTCCACGCCAAAGCTACTATTACCAGAAGTTGAAAATCTGTTCCCTTCGCCGCAATGCCGTATGTATGTACTGGACAAAAGTCCATTCGATCAAAAGGAAATAAAAAGTCGCCGAATTAGCTATGTGTTTTGCCGCGATGAGTAGACCAAGACCCTGTCTAAACGTTTCGTGTCGTTATCGTATTGTCGGGGAACGGTGTGTGGTGAATCGGGGTGTTTGCTCGGGACAAGGGTGTTGTGGCCCTTGAATCGTCGGGCAAAATGGGTGAAGGGGACGTGTCTTCGTATTCGTTTCGGGTCGCAATCGGGCCATATAATCGATGCCGTTCCGTATCGCCGGCCGCGGCGTCGTCACTTGGATGCAGTGTGGAGCAGTCAGGCCCTCGGCTTTACCGCACTCCTATGGGCGGACGCTGGCCAAGACTGCTCTGACTGCTGTGGGCCGAGGGCTCGGTGTCCGGTTGAGATTCACCACTGCCCGCGCTGGCGCTCGCACTACCAGTCAGACTTCTTACGTTTTTCTGCTTGGGTGGGAGAAGGCCGCTCACCCCGACATGTTGCTCAACCTGCTGTGGCGCGACTGCGTTACCATGGCCGGGAGGGTATCGGGGCACGGGTTGACGGACACCATCTGGCGGCGATGGCCGACCGTTCATCGAAGGGCCGCCGAAACCGTTAGGAGGCGACGGTCGACCTCCGCCTCGAATCGAAGGGCTGTACGGATTTCCCGGCGACTGGCTAGCTCGCCGGGGGAATGCTCCGTTCATGCCCATCTGCATCGGCCCGCCGGCGAACTGCATTTCGTCCAATCGAGAAGCCGTCAGCGAGTTCGCTCTGGATCCTGCGTGCATTGCTCCTCGGTCAACTGCGCCGTAACGATTTGATGTCATGGAGAGAAGGGGGTCGTCCAGGATGTTCTCGTTCATGGGGGGCATGTTAGCGATCTGGCTGGATCGATTGCGGCCGAAGTTCGGGCGGAACCTAGAAGACCGAACCGGGGGTGCAGCTGCGTCGTAGACCTCGTTCTTGTGGAATTGGGCTCGGTTCGGAGGCGGCGGCGCTTGCTTCCGGTTCTTCCTCGACGTTACGCTCATCATGTCGAAGTTCTCGGGGTCGATCATGGGAGGCGGCGGGCCGGAGTTGGGGTCGAAGTAGTCATCGTCGTCATCGTCTTCGTCGAATGCCTGGGCGCTGTTGCGCATCGGATGCGGGCCTCTCCGGGGAGGCGGGCCCCTTGATCTCATCCGCATTTCCCGCTCTCTCATAGCCAGCTCTCTCTGACGCAGCTCCAACTCCCGTTCACGAAGCGTGAGATCAGAGCCCTCCGGGCCGTAGCCGGGCTCGCCGCCCTCGGGAATATCGTCGTAAAGCATCAGATGAGAGAACTCCTCCAGGTCGTTTCCCTCGAGAGATCCTCGCCTTGATGCAGCCCGAGATCCGGGCGCAGGGGGGCCACGAGGGTAGCCGTTCGGAGGGCCGCCGTTCATGGGCGGTCGACGCATGCCGGGGGGCGGCGGGCCCAGGTTGGACGAGTTGCGTGGGCGGGGTCCGCGGGGAGGCATACCGTTGCCGTTCATGGGACGGATGCCATTCTGCGTCGACATTCTCGGGGCGGGTGACTGGGATGTAGGGGACCCCGGAGGCGCCAGAGCAGCATCGACAGGCTTGGGCGGTCTCTGGCGGTTGACGATATTAAGGTTGTGCAGAATCGCATAAAGTGTTTCGATGCGCGGAACGGGGACGCGGGACTCTTTCGCCAATTTTATCGGGGACCCAAGATACGTCTCGACCTCCATTGGTCGTCTCGCAATGTAATCCTGCCACATGATACTCTCGGTAGGCGTGGGCCTCGTCATGTCGTCGATCGTCTTTTGCTTGTAGTCGGGGGCCAACTTGCAGCCGTGTGCAGTGGCAAGGGCGATAAGTTCGTCGATCACGTCGTTCACCAAGTCTCGGACTCCAACCTTCTCGAGCAGCTGCGTGTGGTTTGATGTCTCGAAAATCACACTCGCAGGGTGGAAAGCGATAGGGCTGGTGGAATTGTCAGCAAGGGATCAACACCATTATTCAAGGGATACTCACCCAATCACCCTTTCGTACTGCTGCTGGCGGATGTTCTGGGAGACTTTGCAATCGACCTGGCCGGTTGTCAATGTCATTGCCAGTGCCTGAGCCATGTCCTCCTGAATCGCGGCCGGGATGTTGTCATTCTTGCTGGAAGGTCCAACCCAAATCTCGGTAGATCCCTTGTGTTCGAATTCGCTCTGGCCAAGTTGGGAGAGTTCGGCATTGGAGACCAGCGACAAGACGACGTTGGTAGGGAAACGCTCCTCTATAGCAGCCTCGACGCCGAGTGTATGCGTTGTGTTGACCAAGATGCACGTATGCTGGGGCGTGACGACAGCGTCGATGACGGCGGCGAGATCGTAAACATCAGGCAGGGCCTTGATGCAAAGTATCACGTAATCGAAGGGGCCGACGGTGTTTGCGGCTTCTTCGGGAACGCGAACGACTGTAGAAAAAGCGCGTAAGCAACGATGAATCCATTTTCCCCTGGTTCTCGAGGAGCATACTTACCATGTCGAGGCTTGAAGCGTTCGTTACCAAAGACTGGCGACCTGTGATGATCTGGTTAGAAGTGGTCGCAGGACGCTGGGCAGGGAGCGGAACATACTTGAACGAAATGCCGTATTGCGCAACATGATCATATCCCGATTTCCACACGAGTGTAACATCGCAGGCGTTGGTTGCCTGTAATCTCCATGACAAGAAGGCGGAAACCGGATTCCCACCCACTGAACACACGCTCATTAGCTCACTGTTGCTGTTGGCGTCGGCCATGGTAATCGCATTCGACACGATGCACGAGCACCGGTCCCTGGAGCGAACGAAGGGAGAGGGAGGAAAATTAGAAGAGAAAAAAAAAGAGAGAGAGAGGGGTGGTAGGAAAAAATAACGAGTGTGAATTTGGCAAATGGAAGGGACGGAAAGGTGTAATTGGGGAGGAAAAGCCGGGCTGACGGGTAGAGATAAAGGGACACAAAATTCCGATCCACACGGTCGCACCGATGTAAGAAGAAGAAGCAATTACTGGAGCGGGCGGGAAGAATTGAAGCCAGGAAATGGACGCACCTGAGAGGATCTTGAGCCGGGGCGTCTTGGGTGCCATGATGGACCCAAATGTGGATTAGTGGTGGGTTGGCCAAGTTAGTCGCCTGTTGTACCCTCTGTACACCACTTTCTCACGACAGCGCAGCGCAAGCTGACGTCGTGAGCCTTGTGCAACGACGGCGTATGGAACAACCGCCGGATGTGGCTGCGGTCGGTAATTCGCCTGCAATTGAGCGATGTAAGGCTGGTTTGGTGATGCTGCGTGTATCGTCGAGGGTACGGAGTTCGCTGGTCGTTTCTTTTTTTTCCCCTTCCTTCTCTTGCTCGAAATCCCCTACTGGACGACAGCAGGTCGACAGGTGGGCGCGTCGGTGGATTCGATAGGCCTCAGACCCATTCGATTACGGGCAAGCGTATCGAGGCGGGTTTGGGGTGACGGGGAGACGAAGCGATTCGACGACGACGACGACCGATAGACTCTCCTTCTTCCTTCTCGTACGGTAGTAGGCAAGCTGTGGCGCAAGGTCGGCAGCGACGGGACCACGGCTTCTTCCTCTTCTCGTCGCAGCAGAATTAACGAACGTGACGCCTGTAATGGCTAGTCGAGGTCGTGGCGGCGCGGACGAGCTGAGGTGAAGGGTGGGCTCACAGAACGGGCCCTTTTCGAAACGTAGAAGCAATGAACAACAGCAGCTCGTACAGAAGCACTGGCAGGTAAGGTAGGTAGGTACAGGGTCGCGTGCTTGCCGGAATGGAATTTGCAAGCAAGACTGTCTATGTAACGAATGTGTGGTTGACCAAGAACGTGTCGTGTTTCGAAGAATGGTCGGCCTGGGAGGACAGCGAACGGGGGGGCGTGATCATCAAAAGGAGGTGACGAGATTTAGGATTACAAAAGGGCGGGAAAAAAAAGGAGATGGGGGGGGTGGGAGTGGGATGTGTTGTCTGGCGTTTCGTAGGACAACAACTTTGGTTCACTCGTGCGGAAGACAACGAGGAATTGGGGTGGGAGGAGAGATCAGAGGAAAAAAAAAAAAGGACGGGATGACGGTAGAAGGAGTCTGAGCCAAGGTGGTGGAGAGCGGCAATGGCTGGACGCGGCGTGTAAAGTAAAAGGTAAGGTGCACAGGTCAGATCAGGACCGCCAGGCAGGGCAGGGTGCAGGTTAGGTACTTTGGGCATGTATCTGTGTTCGTTGTGCAGCTCAGCATGCAGAGTCCCCTACCTTGCGTCGTAGGGTAGAGCTGGATAGGAGCTGGAACTTGATCCGGAACACGTTCTGGGCACCAAGGTGAGGTAAGGTACTTGTACGTGTACCTGCCTGAGCCGCCGCCTTATTACGTGGAAGATGAGGTGGTGTGCGATGTGTGTGGTTTGTTTCGGGGAAAGACACCGCTGCGGAGGCCATACGGTAAGGTACGGATTGCGGGATCGCGCCTGGCAATAGGACGGCTTAGGGGAATTAAAACTGAAAAGCCACGCGGTAACAGGAGCTGATGTGCCCTGGTGAATATGACACTTTGGGAGAGTCGCGGAAGGACAGGACAGGGGTGGCTGGATCGGGCGTGGAGGGCAAGACGTAGGCGCCGCCGGTGAAACTGGACTCAACGGGAACCAGAGACGTGGACTGAGAGGCAGGAAGAACGGGACGGGGTAAGAGAGGGAAGGATAGGCAGCAGCAGTTGGAGCAAGCTGGGTCCTGGTGAATTTGAGGGGAGGGGGAAAGGAGGAGACTGTCACTAACTGGCGCAGCGAGCATGAGCAACAGGCAAGCGGGCAGACAAAAGGATGGGAACGGATGCCAGTTGACAGACTAGCAGAATGGCTGGGATGAATAGGATGGTAATCGGATTGGAGACGTATAGTATCAGTACAAAAACCTTTGGGATGGTTGCACTGGACTGTCGAACCTGCCCACACCTGGTTTGACGTGCTATGCAACGAGATGCTTTTAGCTTTTGATATTCGAGTTACACGGCAACATACGGATACAATTGAGTCAACAGCATCATCACGTATAGATGGTGGTAATGTTCTCCGCCTCTCTGTATCCCTTCTGCTTTCCAAGCATGAGGTACCCATACATGTGTCTGGTTTCTTGCTTGTTGACGAAGTGCTGGCAACCCCAGCCCCGGACTGTGGATGTCGATGTGGACTGTGGATGCCGCTCGGGATGGGCGGTGCAAGTTGCGTCTTCCCTGTGCCTCTTTTTTAGTCCGCCCTGTCGGTTGTCGTTCTGTGTTCTGTGTCCTGCGTCCTGCGTCTCTTATTGTTCAACGGGCAAGGGAGGCAGAGCTTGCTGGGGTCCGCCTCTTTCCGCTTGCCTTGCACCCGCCGCCCGGCAGGTAGGTACTATGTACGTACCTTTCCCTGCTTTGCATTCTCACCACATCTTTGGGCCGGCCAGACTCTGAGTCTCTGGCCAGGGCAGAGAATGGAAGACAGGAGTAGAGTCAGGCACGTACATATAATAGTCAGATACTTTGTGGTTCCGTCCAATTGAGAGCCATCGGCCTCATCACCAGTACAAGTACTCGTACGCACTCACTGCTGCGTTGCTCTGCCCGACAAAGTCTTCGATGCACAAATCGACAAGGGAAAAGGTCGATAATCGATATTCGCCTCCCTGTACACCAAATGCCCGATCAGCACCTCAGATACGTGGATGCATCTGCGTAGAGGAACACGCCCGATTCCCGTCGTCCACTAGGTACGGAGCACGGCGTAGTAAACTCCCAACTGGGCAACTGGCCTAGCGCCGCCGCCCCTTTGTGGTCCGTTGGTTCCTTGGACAGCGTTGCAAAGATGGACAGGACGCCGGTGTTGCGCGCGTCGCGGGATCTTCCTCCACTAGCCCGGGGGTCGAAGTGGTGACTGTCCACGGCCGATGGTCGATGGCATGAGCAGTCACTGGTGCGACTAGGCTGCATTCGTGTTGGATCAGAATTGGAAAGACTGACGAGTTTTCCATCCCACCCGGCGATAACGACTGCCTTGTCCTCCGTGTCCGACGGCCCGAATCGTTACTGAACGGTTAGGCAAGCATCAAATAAGAAATTTCTTCCAGACCACTGGGAAGAATAAGCAGCGTCCAATGTACACCGTCTGTCAGTGCGGCGCATTTGAACTGCAAACCCCTGAACTCAAAGCTTGTTGATTACCAACAACAACAAGCGCAACACGAACTACCAAGAGTCCGATTGCGAGTATCGGGCTCATCCCACCCTATGGTTCTGTTGTCAATTCCGGCTGATTGCGAGGGCCCTGGCCTGCCAAGAAAGGAGTGACAGTGCGGTACTCTGTACAGGGCGGGCAGGCCGCTGTTGAGGTGCAATGCAATGCAGAGCGGTATGCACCGCAACAGCCGGGCAAACAGGGCGGAGTGGGCGAGTCGGGGCAGTATCAGGATTCCATTGAAGAAAGGAAAAGAAAGGGTGCTGACAACGAAGCTCTCGGACTGCTGCAGCTTAGGTTAGCTGCGAGAGGCATCCCATCAGCAAGTGCAAGAACAGACCCGAGCCGTAAATCTGCGTGTACTAGTAAACAGCGTTGGCAGGGTCTTACACCTCTGCTAAAAAGCTGCACTTCACCTCAAAATGGTGTACATAGTAGGTGTGGTCTGGCCCCCAAGCGTAGGGCAGGCCTGGCAGATCGTCTTGCCGCGCTGTCTGTCGTGTCGTACGTGTCGTGGCGCGGCGTCGGCAACTCCCTTCTCACTGACCTCTGCTTTGCCCCGGAGGTCCGAGCGAGAACACCAGCGCTGCCAGCTTGCGATTCCAGCCTCCGGAGTGCCCATGTCTGCGGTATGTCTTGTCTGCCAATGACTGTGGGCTACCACAGCTTGTTGGATGTGGCTGGTCCAAAGATAAGGTCCACGTCGGTTTCTCATCACTGATCAGGTGGCTTCATGTCGAAACAGACAGATCTGAAGCCCCGTGTATGACCAGGACATGGCCTCTAACGACTGACTCTCCTCATACATCGATGGAACTTGCAGATTCCTGACCTCTCAATAGCGTGCACCAGCGGTAGTGTCGTGTCGTGTCGTGTCGCGGGCGTTGGCGTGTTCAGGGGTGGACCGAATGCCGTATTCTTGTGCGTGGGGCAACCCTCAGAACACAACGCAATCAAGATTCAAGACTCAAGAGGTCCCCCCGCTGTCAATTCGTCCCTCCCAGTGGCTGTGTCCTGTCAAGCGTGGAGCCGCGAAGCCGTAACCTTCTGGTTGGATTCTTCACAGTGGAGACGGGATGTTGATCGGGAAGTACTCTCTACCGCGTATCCGTGGTGTACTGTAGGTATCCGTTTTGGCTGCTTGGGTATTGCGGTCGCAGACTACGTGCCAAATAGTAAGCAGACAGGCACTGCGGCCTCGGAAGCCCACCTCGGGAAAGCAGGATACCTACCGGAACGAATGCCACCATATGATTGGTGTCTGGTCTGCATCTCGGGGTTTCTGGAGAAGTCGACGGTACAGATTCATGCCATTCATTCCATGCTAGTCGACAGCAAGACGGAAGTGTGGTGAGAGCGGACGGGCCGGGCGGGCTCCGACTCGCCGGGAAACCAAAGGAACAGGACGGGCATTAAAGAACCAATGAGGATGTCGAAGAAGAAGAAGAAGAAGGAAGAGGAGGTCGACAATTTCGCGATAAAATAAGGTGTCTGAAAGCAGCTGTTCATTCGAATTGAGTTTGCTTGGCAATAAGGAAATGCGAAATGCCCACCGA